GGTGGGGGAGAACAAGAGGTCTAGACCATCACGACGGTGAAGCTGCCTCCCTAGGCAAACAGTGTGGTCATAAATAAGGGTAATTGAGAATTATGGCAAGGCGGAGGGGAAAGGCAGGTGGTGACGTGATCCACATGGGTGACACCCATGACACCACCCCTTTGCCCTGCCTGCAGGCCTTGCTCTCTTGAGTGTTTTCCTACCAGGTCTGGGTGCAGAGCCACCTCCAGCTGGCCTGGGAGGCAGAGTGGTTAGAGTGGATGTGAGGGGAAGCAGATCAAGCCACACCGGGGGAAGGAATGGCACCACCTGGCCTGCTGATTTGAAAACAGGAAACTTGCTTCTGGGCCGGGCTCTCAGGTGGTACTAATTTCCTCACTGGTAACCTGCCTGGGATCCTTTCCCTGTGGCGTCTCCGTCCTCTTTGCTGGCCCCTGAGGGCTGCTGGCTGCCTGACAAGGTGAGCCGTGGGGACTGCAGGCTGTGAGCTCAAGTTTACCTCATGTTGAACTGTCTGGGGGAGTTCGTGTGGGAGGCAGGAGGCAGGGAATGGTGGGGTGCGCACCTAGAGAAGGCCTTAATACTTTCACATCCCCCGAGCTGGTTTCCATTGGGGTGACACCCCGGGAGGTCTGGTTGGGAGTGGGGAAGGAGTGAGGGGGGCGAGTGGAGGGAATGGTGAGGAGGGAGGAAAGGGGAGAGGTGACAGGCGAGGGGAACCAAGGACTATAAGGAGAAGGGAAATGAGCTTGATTTCAGTCACAATCAAGCTCGTCTCCACTGCCACGGTTCCTCAGTGGCTCTCTCCTTAGGGCCCCCCTTTATTGGGCAAACGGGTCCTCACGCCCGGCGCATCCAGAGGCCCCGCCTGCAGGATCCTGAGGGACTCATGTATGTCATTGTCCTTTCTTGTAGACCGCCTGTAAAGTGATACAGGGGTTCTGTCCTATTTCCCTTCAGAGACCTTTTTACCCTGCCCATGAGGCTTCCATGAGAAAGAGATTAAATAGTGAATTTAAGTGGTAATCGATTAAGATAAACACAGAAAACATTTTACAAAATAAGGCATTTTGGGCAAAAGTAACGGTCATTTTAAAGCCCTTCTCTGTGCTGCTGATCTTTCTGGCCTCTCTCTTGTCGGTTTTAAAATTCCTGCGATTCCCTAGAAGGGTTAACCGCTCACGCCTGGGGGAGGGGTGTCTTAGTTAGGGCAGGTATGTCGGCAAAGATCTAAGGGGCATCTTTACCAGGGACTTGAACTGCAAGCCACAATACGTTAGAGGTTGTTTGAGGGTCATTATGATATCCAGGTGATGCCAAATTGTCTTTAACTCCTGTTAGTCATTGGGCAGGAGCCCTGGTGGCAGAGTGGTTAAGTGCTCAGCTGCTAACCAAAAGGTTGGTGCTTCAAACCCAGCAGCCATTCCACAGGAGAAAAATGTAGCAGTCTGCTTCCATAAAGATTGCATCCTTGTGAACCCTATGGGGCAGTTCTACCCAGTCCTACAGGGTCGCTATGAGTGGAAATAGATTCCACAGTGAAGGTTTGTTAGCCATTGGGTGAGTGGTAGGTAGAAGGGAAGAGGAGGTGATATTTATAAATGGTAAGTGCAAAAGAGTGAAAATAGTTTCCTTCCAACAATGAGCTTATTCCCGAATTGGCCAATGAGTATTTTCAAAGGCCATGCCACGTTACAGGATCCAGGATCCATGGGGTGTTTCACACACGGGTTCAGGAGACGGGGCTAGCTAGAAGAGTTCTACACATCAACTGGACGTCATTGCTCAAAGAGTTGCTGGAGCTTCCTCTCATCAGAATGGAGATGAGGACGGAGCTGGGGTCTTGCAGAGGGAAGACGTACTTAAGGGGGTTACTCACAGTGTCTTGGTGTAGCCGGTGGGTGAGGCAAAGGCAGACCACAGTTGGGAACTTGCTACTCAACCTCTCCCCTCTTCCTGCCTCCTGCAGAGGGCGCCGCGCTCCCCTCTGATAGACCTCCTTGCCTATGCTGTGAAGCTCTTTGATGGAGATGGATGACAGCGGAATTAACAAGGAGCTGAAGCAGAAATTAAACTTCTCTTGTTGTGAAGAAGAGACTGGGAAGGAGGCGCAGGAGAAAGAACAAGAGCCCCTGGAAGCCCAGAGTCAGACCCCAGAGAAGTCTGAGTTGCAGGCGGCAGAGGCAAAGCTTACCCCTCCCAGGACTCCCCTTCAGAACATCCATGGACTCAGCACGGCTCAGGGGAAGGACAGAGTGAGTCCAGATCCGAAGTTGAGGACTCCAGATCTGATGTTGAGGACTCCAGATCCGATGATGAGGACTCCGGTGTCAGGCCCTTCCAGGTGTCCCGAAACACCAGCCCCAATAGACAAGAGAATGTCACAGCACCATGGCAGTCCCTTCACGCCCAAGGTGAGTGAGTGGTGGGGGAGAGGGCCAGGGCTCCAAGACCTGTGCTCCTTAAATCCAGCTTGTGGTATGTAATGTATTTGTCTACCATGCTGTGTGTCCTCAATGACATGTGTATTGGTGACAATGAAGAAGTGTTTAGTTACCAGAAAACAGAATTAAACGTCTTGCCAGCTGTCTTCTCCAAATCTTTGGAACGAGCTGTTATTTGGTGGCAGCCCCAAATCAATCTCGAGTGAGGAAAGACTCCTAGTTAAAGAATATTGGAACTGGAGGGAAGACTGAGATCAAGCCCAATGTATGCACCTTACAGATGAGAAAATCAAAGTCCCAAGGGATGAACTGGCCTCTCATCAGTCAGTGCCAAATCAGGGTTAGAGATCTGAAATCCTGCCTATTCTATTCTTATTCTAGTCTATTTTTATGGTTATTCTATTCTTTTTTCCATCCAATTGGCTCTATTTTATGGGATTATTTACTAAAGTTCCTAATATCAGAATGCTCACACCCACTGTGTGAACATATTTACCTCTTTGCCACTGCACTTTCCTGAAGGAACTCATCTCTTCTTCTTCATCTGGTGAAGTAAGGCTCTTCTGATGTACGTGAGCAAAGACATAACTTGTTGATACTTCTTTACAAACTGAGGATGTTGTATTGGTTTCCTAGAGCTGCCCTAACAAAGTACCACAAACTGGGTGGCTTATGAGAACAGAAAATCAAGGTGTTGGAAGGATTGGTTCCTTCTGGGGGTTCTGAGGGAGCATCTGTTCCATGTCTCTCTCCTAGATTCTCATGATGGCCAGTGGTCCTTGCATCCCTCGGCTGGTAGCTCCACCACACCCATCTCTGCCTTCTTCACATAGCTGTCTTCCCTCTGTCTCCATCTGTCTCTGTGTGTGTCTTTTCTCCTCTTTTGTAAGGACACCACTCATATGGGATTAAGACCCACCCTACTCCAGTATGACCTCATGTTAACTAATTACATCTGCAAAGACCCTGTTTCCAAACAAGGTCACATTCACAGGTATTAGGGTTAGGACCTCAGCATGTCTTTTTAGGGGGTACAGTTCAATCCATAGCAGATGGCAAATGAGCACAGTTCCTAGTAGTCAGCACATTGCCTTATTCTTGCCATCCCTGGTCTCCTATTACATCTGCCACGTTATTCACGCCGAGGTTGGGGCAGGGCTACCTGTGTTAGACTTGGTGCCAGTGGTGTGTGATACCTGGATTGGGACCAGCTCTGCTTCCTGCTGGCTGAGCGGGAGGCACTTGAGATGATCACAGTACCAACTGTGATCCCGCTACGGCACAGTTACAGCCAGTGTGCCTCTTTAGGACCCGCTGAGTATGCGCACCGCGTCTGCCACGTATACTAAGCTTCCTGTGTGAGGTATAGGCAAGCTACTTTAATGTGTCCATCTGCGGGATTCTCAGTGGTTCCATCACCAACCCGTTGATCATCTATGTGTTCATTGTTACATTTACTCATTCATTATTTGAGACCCAGCTGTGGGCAAGGAGCATTGGAGATAGTCTCTGCCCTCAAAAAGCTCCCCATCCCACAGAGAGAGGGGAGATGTGCTTCAAGAGGGGCCAAACGGAGTCCTCTGCATGGATTGCTCCTAGTGCAGTGATGGGAAAAGGTGGAGGAGGCCTAGGACCGGCAATGCAAGCTGAGCTCAATTTTGATATGCGGAAACTATGAGGAGAGTGGGCTGATAGTTCCAGGCAGAGACTGTGCCCTGAGCAGGAATACACCAGCAAGACAGCATGACATGGGTCTGCTAAATGGTCTGTATGTTTCATTCATTCGTTCGACACTAACAGAAAACTTTGATACGCTAGCAGATCCTCTGCTGGCAGAACCCATTTACTGCCTTCACAATGTGCCTACAAAATGGATAAAGATACATAAGTGAAACAGTCATTGAAGTTCAGCTCCTCTGTCCCAGACAAATGGTAGCCAGTGATGAGGGAAGATCGAGGAAGAGTTCTGAATTAAGTCTTGATATCAGGGAAGTCTTTCCAAAGAAAGTAAGGTTTGAGAGAAGTGTCAAAGGATGAATTGACGTTCGCCAGGCAAACGAGGAGGGGTGTGGAACTATAGGCATAGGGACCTGCATCTACCATGTTATGGAGGGACAGAGTGTGCATGCTACTTAGTACAGCAGAGAGCACTGGAGATGAGGCTGGAGTAGCTAGGATGGAGCTAGATCAAGATCTATCCTGAAGGTGTTGACAGAACCATTAAATGGTTTTGAGCAGGGGCATTTGAAAACTCATGGCCTCCACGTGTAGGGTGGACTAGAGCAAGAGAGGCCTGGGGGCAGGGAAGTATTCACTATGGGTCTGATAAGAGAGGAAAAGGGCCTGAACTGGGACAGTGGTGGTGGTGCTGGTGTTAGCGGCCATCTAGCCAGCCTAACTCATGGCGACTCTGTGCACAATGGAAGGAAACTCTGCCTGGTCCTGTGCCATCCCCGTGATCAGTTGTGGATTGGACTGTTGTGATCCATAGGGTTTTCACTGGCTGATTTTCAAAAATAGATTGCCAGGCCTTTCTTCCTAGTGTGTCCTAGTCTGGAAGCTCCGCTGAAACCTGTTCAGCATCATAAAAACATGCAACCATCCAGTGACAGACGGGTGGTGGCTGCACATGAGGTCCATTGGCAGGGAAATGAGCCTGGGTCTCCCGCATGGAAGGCGAGAATTCTACCACTGAACCACCAATGCCCCCAACTAGAGTATAGTTTCACTTATTTTGAACCAACAGTTTTTATTATCATTTTAAACCAATATTCAGCCCTTATACTAAGGAAGCATTGTAAATAGCTTCTCAGTGAGGTCTTAGCCTGACCGTAGTCCCGGGGTTACCCTATGAACTGTAGGAGGTGTGTAAATCCTTGTAAAAGCCCTTGACTCCAGCAATGACTTGTTTTTCTTCATCCTTTTTAAAATGCTAGGTTACTGTGCGTACTCTGTAGCATCCTTCATTTCTGCTTAGATCCATCATGTATTATTTATAACAAGTTCCATGTTGATTCTTTGTAGACTCACAAACTTTAATTAAATTTTCATGTAGTGAGTCAGGTTGTCGTCTACTTTCTGCTTCCACGTTGAAAAGTCACAAGGAGAGCTTATCAAAGCAGTAGAATTCCTTAGAAAGGTCCTCACGGTACCACGATTATACTGCAGGGTTCTACTGTGGCCAGGTACACACCTGGACTCTTCTAGATCTATAGCTCAGGTACTCCTCTGGCCCCTCAACTTAGGTCATGTTGGCGTTCTGCTGTATCATCTGACTTCTCTGTCTTTGATCTCTCTCCTGTGCCCTTTGGTTTAATTCCAGGGCCAGTTAGTTTTCAGGCTTATGTTCTCTTATCATACCCCACTTGGAGCCCTGGTTGTGCAGTGGTTAAGAGTTTGGCTGCTAACCAAAAGGTTGGTGGTTTGAATCTACCAGGCGCTCTTTGGAAACCCTATGGGGCAGTTCTACTCTGTCCTATAGGGTCGCTATGAGTAGGAATCAACTCAGCAGCAATGGGTTTGGTTTGGGTTTTCAGAGTGGTAAGACCCGCTCATTTTTCTGTGTGTTCCTGTGGTAGTTGTAGCCACTGCTAAGCCCTGAACGAAGAGCTCGCATTTGAGCATTATTTTAATCTCTATCCCATTTCATAGAGCTCCTCTCTGTTAATACTAAATTTTAAGTGCAATCAGAAACCTCTTCTTCCACATGTAGGTCTATGAACTCTTTCCTTTATGAAGTGATTATTTCCGAAACATCGATGAGCCACTGATGATGGACTGTGCGTTCCTGAAGAGCAGGTCTTATCTCTGTACCCTCAGAAGGTAGCTCACCACCAGCCACTCTGCAGGCACCAAACAAACGTTTGCGTAAATAATCCAGGGAAGTTAAAATATAAACTCTGAAAGGACAAAGACCAGGTCTTCTATAGAGTCGTTTTTGTTTGTCTAAACTTAATTGGAGTCCCTGGGTGGTGCAAATGATTAATGTGCGTGGCTGCTAACCAAAAGGTTGGAGGTTGGAATCCACCCAGAGGTGCCTCGAAAGAAAGTCCTGGTGATCTACTTCCAAAAAATCAGCTATTGAAAACCCTATGGAGCACAGTTCTACTCTGATGTACATGGGGTTGTCATGAGTCAGAGTCAGCTTGATGGCAACTTTTTTTTCTTTTTTTTATTTGGTAAACTTAAAATCCTTATCTTTAAAAGTTAGATGCAGGACTAGAACTGATGATCTTCATAGCTAGTTATCAGAATTTTTCAGGGTAAGGATGTAGCTTAACACAAGTAAGATTCCTGGGTTGACTTCATTAATCAGAATATCTAGAGGTAAAGGCTGGAGTTGGTGTTTTTTATAAGAAGGCCAGTTACCATGCAACTAGTTGGCACCGAATCAGATAATCTCTAAGATCCCTTTCAGCAAGAATATTCTTTGGTTTAAACATTAGCAGGATTCACTAACCCCACCCTGACTCCCTTTTTTCATCCCATCCAGACCCAGCTGAGCCCCACAGCAGTCTCTCCAGCAGGGAAGCTCTCCTCCCGGAGCTCCAAGCACCTGAGGCTCACGCCTGTGTCCTTTGTGAATGAGATGACCTCATTGGCTCTGGTCAATGTCAATCCCTTCACCCCAGAGTCCTACAGAAAGTTATTCCTTCAATTCAGTGGCAAGAGGAAAATCAGAGGAGAGCCGTGAGTGCACCGTTGCCTATGACTTTTGAGAACTGACTGAGCTGAAGGGTGTAGAAGACTAGGAACAAGCACTTACACGAAGTTCTATGATGTTGCACGCATTCCTGTCTTCCTAAATATCAATGTTGGTTTTAACCTGTGTTGTCACAGAGAATTGAGCATTTCTCCACTGTGATGTGTACTGTGGATGCCTTCCCTATAAAAGGCAGGACAGAGTGAGAGACCAAGGACTTCCATTAGGACGTTGAAGGGGCTGTGGAGTTGCTCCCAAGGGTCTCCTCTGGCTACCGTAGGGCTAGCTGTTGGGGAAGGGACAGTTCAGACTTGGCAGAGGGAGCGTACTGCTGTTTTGAGTCTAGCTTGTGTGAATGGTGGTGATGGGAATATAGAGAATGGATTTAAAGTTCTCAGCAGGCGATGGAGGATTGGCAGAAGAGAAAAAGGTAGTGTTGCTTTCTGAGGTGTTAAAAAGTGGAAAGCCAGCTGCACTATTCCACAAAGCCCGTAGACTGGTAGAAGTCATTCCAAACAAGGATGTTGCCTGTTACTCAGAGATGTTTCTTTACCACGTGCCTTGAAGGGAAGCCTCTGTAAAACAGGGCAGTCATTTGTGTTCATGCAGACTCAGCAAAATACATGCATGGCTAGCAATCAAGTTTGCAGAGCGTTTAATGTGCCATGTTGAGTTTGTTTCTTTGGAAGCAATGACTGCATATTAATGAGACTTGTAGCCAGAATAGGTTTTCTCAACACTGTCTCCTGGATCTTATGTAAACAGGACTTCAACACAAGCACACAGCAAAAACCCACTTTGGCTACCAAGATTGCTAATGCTTTTAGCTCTTTAGTGGTTGACAGTGAATTCTAATGGTTTCACCTCTCACTGAAGCCAGTGGGAAAAGACTGCAAATTTGAATTCCTGGCAATGAAAGTGGTGATACTTTAGTAATGTTTTAGTGCTTCTGAGAGGGTGTTTTCTCTCTTATTACATTGTTGTTTTATAAATTATTTGGATGTAGTATTAAATCTAAATCACAGATGTCAGGATCAATTTATGTCCATGAGTGTCGAGTCTCCCCTTTGCCATTTCTACCCCATATGTCTCCAAAAGAAAAATCAATAGTTAGTGATCTAGAAATTGAAACATTGCATAAGGACCCAGAATACAACTCCTTATGCCAAAGAGTTTCAGTTTCCTGAAAAGTACTAGACATCCTAGCCAGGGGTAGAGTTGTCCTGCTGTACTCAGTCTGCCTGTGAGCAGAACTCAAAGCCAGGTTCTGTGGGAGTGCAGTGTGGCAGTGAAGAGCAAATGCTTTGGAGTCAGGGCTGGTTTCAGATCTCATTTCTGCCACTTACTAGTTGTGTGGCCCTGAGTTATTTTACATCTCCAAGCCCCGGTTTCTTCATTTGGGGAATAATGCCGACTTACAGTTTCAATATGTTTTGTAGGCTTTCTTGCCTCCAAGTCTTAGTGGGTGTTGTTCTACCTGCCCCAAACCCTGCTCCTTTCCATTAGCTAGTTTTTGGAAACCCTGATGGCATAGTGGTTGTGAGCTATGGCTGCTAACCAAAAGGTCAGCAGTTTGAATTCACCAGGCGCTCCTTGGAAGCTCTATGGGGCAGTTCTTCTCTGTCCTTTAGGGTCACTATGAGTTGGAATCGACTCGACGGCAATGGGTTTGGGTTTTTGGTAGCTAGTTCCTACTCATCCTTGGTATTGTAGCTTACCTGCATTCTGGGAAAGCCTTTTACTTCTCCCAAGACGCAACTGGGCACTGTCCATGGTACTCTTGGTATCGTGTTGTTACTGTAGCTTTTAGGTGCCGTGAAGTCGATTCTGACTCATAGCGACCCTATAGGACAGAGCAGAACTGCTCCACGGGGTTTCCAAGGAGCTGGTGGATTCGGACTGCCAACCTTTTGGTTAGCAGCCAAGCTCTTAACCACTGCGCCACCAGGACTCCATCCTTTTCTTACCCTATTCTATTCTTATGTTGACCTTTCTTGCTTTTCCCCGCCCCCAAATATAAATATAAATTGCAGGGGAGAAGGAATTATTCACTCCTACAGCCCCAGAACCTACCATAGTACCAGGCTCAATTAGTGCCAGTCATACACTGAAATAACTTTTTTTTCCTCCCAGTGAGGAAGCGAGTCCACAGGAAGGCATGGTAGAACAAGAGCTGCCTGCCAAGGTGAGCATGCTTCCCTGACCCAGCTGTTAGACCCCTGTCATTTTATCCTCCTCTCCTCTCCACCCAACTTTCTCTCATACACTCACACACCCCATCTCTCTCTCTCTCTCATACACACACACACCATCTCTCTCTCTCTCTCTCTCTCTCTCATACACACACACCATCTCTCTTTTCTTTCTCTTACACACACAGACACATCCCATTTCTCTTTCTTACACACACACACCCCATCTGTCTCTCTCTCTCACACACACACTCCATCTTTCTCTCATACACACACACACTCCATCTCTCTCTCTCATACACACACACACTCCCCATCTCTCTTCTCTCACACACACACTCCATCTCTCTCTCTCTCTCACACACACACACACACACACACACACACTTTGTAGTTTCGCAAAAGTGCTTTGTATGTGGATTTACCTGGACTATGATCAGAGTCTTGTATTCTTTGCTGGTTGTTACTTTGCCAGGAAGTGTCTGATATTACATTGCTGAATCATTACCTTGGAGTATTTTTAAATTAAAGATTGCTGCTTCTCTCTTTGATCCGGGAAAGAATTCTGTACTCATGGGGTAGAAAAGTGAAGGGAAAATCAAGATATTTAAAGTCTCCAAATGGAAAAACAGAGCAGAGAAAAATGGCATGAAGCCAGAGCTACAGTTTACATGTAAAATTTTACTTTTAAATATGTCAATATTTATAGATTTTTATAATGCTCACAATCCTTGGTCTACAATTGCTTACTTGGTCATCTAGCCTAAGAAAAGAATACTTTTTAATATTTAATAATTTAAATATCCGCAGAGATGTTTATTACAGCCTTATCTGTGCTAGTGCAAACAAAACGGGGAGAAAGGGGAAAACCAAGAGCCCAACAATAAGAAAATAGCCGTGGCTAAATACATTAGAGTTTTAAGTCACTGGAATATTACACTGCCATTCCAGACAAAACCAAACCCACTGCCATCGTGTTGATTCTGACTCACAGTGACCCTATAGGACAGAGTAGAACTGCCCCATAGAGTTTCCAAGGCTGTAAATCTTTACGGAAGCAGACTGCCGCATCTTTCTCCCATGGAGTGGCTGGTGGGTTCAAACTGCAGACCTTTAGGGTAGCAGCCGAGTGCTTAACCACTAGGCCACCAGGACTCCTAAAGTACCATCAAGGTATATATAATATGAAACATACTTAGGTTCAATGTTCAGTGTACAAAAAAAAAAATTGACATTTTATAAGCTTAATCATCAAAAATGTGTGTTACGCATAAATCAGAGAGAGTTGGAGCAAGCTACAGCCACTGTTACTTCCATGTCTTCGAATGGTGGGAACTGAAGATTCATTGTTTTTCCTTCCTCTTAATTTATAAATTTTTTTGCAGCAAGTTTTCTTTTGCTTGGATAGATAAAATGTGCTAATTTTTTAAAAATGTTAACACTTGGCTATTAAAACCATGGTTTTAATACTACATGTCCTGAGAAATCTAAGGTAGCAGAGAAAGGTAGCACGAAACACCACTTGAAGCCAGTCTTCGTACGTAAATGATTCTGACTCCCACCTTCACTATTTTACCCTCAGATTTTACCCTAACTTACTTTATAAGTTATCTCCTGGCTTCAGACGGAAATGCCAACAACATATATTGAACATCCAACATGTGCAAAGCATTGCGTTGAGAGCCAGTAGCGGGAAAAATCTATAGAAAAGTCACTGCCCAAGAGACACTGGCTCTCTAACATCTTTGAAATATGTCTCAAAACAACCTGTATATGAATGTGGAGCTAGACAGTGTGTATATTTATGTGTGTATATTCAGGTATACACATATGTACAATGTGTATATACATACCCATATGTATGTATATTGATAAATTCATCTATATAGGGGACAGTAGAAATATTTTTTTGATGTCAGATATTTTAATGTCGGATAGATCTCGACTGAAAGCAGAGAATACCAGAAAGATCTTTAGCTGTGTTTTATTGACTATGCAAAGGCATTCAGCTGTGTGGATCATAACAAATTATGGATAATATTGCGAAGAATGGGAATTCCAGAACATTTAATTGTGCTCATGAGAACCAGTACACAGACCAAGAAGCAGTCATTCGAACAGAACAAGGGGCTACTGCCTGGTTTAAAGTCAGGAAGGGTGTGTGTCAGGATTGTATCCTTTCACCATACTTGTTCAATCTGTATGCTGAGCAAATAATCCAAGAAGCTGGACTATATGAAGAAGAACGGGGCATCAGGATTGGAGGAAGACTCATTAACAACCTACGATATGCAGATCACACAATCCTCCTTGCTGAAAGTGAAGAGGACTTGAAGCACTTATTGATGAACATCAAAGACCACAGCCTTTAGTATGGATTACACCTCAACACAAAGAAAACAAAAATCCTCGCAACTGGACCAATGGGTAACATCGTGATAAATGGAGAAAATACTGAAGTTGTCAAGGATTTCATTTTACTTGAATCCACAATCAACGCCCATGGAAGCAGCAGTCAAGAAATCAAAGGATGTATTGCAGTGGGCAAATCTGCTGCAAATGACCTCTTAAAAGTGTTAAAAAGCAAAGATGTCACTTTAAGGACTAAGGAGTGCCTGACCCAAGCCATGGTATTTTCAATCACCTCATATGCATGTGAAAGCTAGACAGTGAATAAAGAAGACTAAAGAAGAATTGATGCCTTTGAATTATGGTGTTGGCAAAGAATATTGAATATACCATGAATTGCCAAAAGAACAAACAAATCTGTCTTGGAAGAAGTACAGCCAGAATGCTCCTTAGAAGTGAGAATGGTAAGACTTTGTCTCACGTATTTTGGACATGTTATCAGGAGGGACCAGTCCCTGGAGAAGGACATCTTGCTTGGTAAAGTAGAGGGTCAGTGAAAAAGAGGAAGACCCTCAGCAAGATGGATTGACACAGTGGCTGCAACAATGGGCTCAAGCGTAACAAGGATTGTGAGGATGGTGCAGGACTGGGCAATGTTTCATTCTGTTGTAAATAGGGTCGCTGTGAGTCAGAGTCGACTTGATGGCACCTAACAACGACAGCAATAACAACAGAAGTATTTTTTGTAGGAAGCAGGACTGCGGTAGAAGAGATGGCATATTATTATTGAGATAATTCTAGACAAAGGTAACAACCTTTAATGCTGTGATGGCAGGGGAACATGTTACGTGTGTGAGAGGGTTGGGCGGGTGGTTGGGAGGCATGTAGATGGCAAACTGACTTATTTGGTGTCTGAGATGAGTGTGGGAAGATAGCTGGTGTGAAATTGGTAGAAGGCCTGCAGGCATTTGAACAGAAGTTCATGAGTGACAATTAGGTGTCTCTTATCCTACATTATCATTTTTCAAAAATAACTGTTAGTATTAGAAGAGACGGAGGGAGGGCTGGGTAGTTACAGGAAATGCAGACATGGCAGAAACAGAGCTTGTGACTGACTAGGGGCAATGAAAATTGAAGCTCTTGCTGATGAAGACTGTTCAGAACTGGATGTTGAAAATGAATAGCTAGGAAGAGCCAAAGTTTTTTAAATTCTTAATGTTACGTGAGAAAGAAATTCTTGCTAATGGCATTGGGAAAGATGACTTCAGGGAGGTAAATCCTCTGGATTGAGATTCGTATAAATATATGTAGATTTTGGTCGTAATAGCTACCACTTACTGAAAATTTACCATGTGCTTGGAGTTGTACTAAGTTATTTACAAGTTCTCATGTAATATTTAAAAGAGTCCCGATGAGTAGTAGCCATGATCCTCATCTTACAGATGTGGGTGATTTACTAGCTGGGCAATGAGTGGTATTGCTGGTTGACCAGTAGGGGATCACACACTCTGAAATATCCAATGAAAGAATTTGGTTCTCTAGACTATGAGAAAAAGATTTCGAGGGAGAAAATTGAAAACAAATACGATTATTCAGTTTGAGATGGAAACGTTAGCAGCTAGACTGTGAGACAGGTAGATGTGAGTCAAAGGGAGATATCTTTTTAAAACATGTTTCACCCTGCCCCCAGTAGAGGGCAGTAGCTCTGGGTGTAAGTAGACGTGTCCCCTGTAGGAACATATCGGGAACATTAGTATGGCCAGACAGAAGAAAGAGTATTGGAAAAGATACGAGGGAAACGTGAGTACAGACTTATGTGGAAGGTTACAAAGAGTACAAGGAAGGTCGTCTCGCTACCATAAATACAGACGCAGAACCTGTTGGGTTTGCCTCAAAAGTCTTTTTGAAAACTAAGAGCAATTTAGAAATGCAACATGTCTCAATTTTTAAAAAAATTTTATTGTGATGAAAATACTTGCAACAAAACACTTGCTGATTGAACAATTTCTGTTATGTATAATTCAATGACATTGATTACATTCTTCCACATGCCTCAGTTTCATCGCTCATGGTATGTTAGGAAGAATTTTATTTTAACTTCCTTTTTATTTTTTCAGAGGTGTGTCCTACGAGAAACCAACATGACTTCCCGCTATGAAAAGGAATTCTTAGAGGTAGAAAAGATTGGGGTTGGGGAGTTTGGTACTGTCTACAAGTGCATTAAGAGGTTGGATGGATGCATTTATGCAATAAAACGCTCGATGAGACCTCTCACAGGATTCTCAGATGAGTGAGTACCTTGGAAGTGCACTGGAAATACACACTTGACGAGCTGTTTCTTGTCAGAATATTTTAGCTAATAGCACTACTATCATTAAAAAACATCCCATTTATTCTTCTTTTTATTACCCTCCCTCAATTGTATGCTGTCTCACATTCGTAGCCTTTCTGAGTTTTCCGGATCAGAGACGAGTTATTTTCTAAACTATATAGTAATTATTTCAGACTGTGTTTTGTTTTGATTTGATTTGATGACTGTCTTGAATTTCACCTTCTACTACAGGTCTTACTGCCTTTTTTTTAATGAATAGATTTATTGCTGAATTGGAAGTTATTGTTAACTCACTGGTTTACCTCTACCATGTATTAATAATGAATCTAGTAGTCAAGTTATGAACAAGCAGTTGTATTTCATTCCCAGAACTACTTGTTCAAAAGTTCTTCCGATCACAGGGAAAACAAATGTATTTTCAGAATCGGCCAATGCTTTTTAAATATTTAGAATACAATACTTAACACGCTGAATCTGAAATTACAGGCTTTGGAGTTCTTCATTTTTATACAGGAATTTACCAAGAATCTGTTTAGCTTTTCTTGGGTTGGTCTTTCCCATTCTATAGTGAATAGCTCTCCCCAAGGCTGTCCCTTCAGCTACATTGTATCGGCAGAGTTTAACTTCGACTCATCAAGTCTTCCTAGAGAAGACACAGAGCCCGTCAAAATATCTGCAGTCAAGTCCAGGGTGGCCATCTTGGCCAGCTCGTCAAGGTTTTTTGCAAACCTGTGCCTGTGTTGTCTCACCTCTTTAACTGGAGATTGCAATCAGTGTAATGAAGACTCAAAGCATGTCTGCCATTGAGCATGGGCAGACCGGGGTTCTGGCCTTGGGCCCACTCTTCCCTGTTTGAATTTGGGTCAGCCACTTAATTTCCTAGAGCTTTGGTCCTGTCTGTGAAATGGGCATGATAATACCTACTGTTGCAATCAGTGTAATGAAGACTCAAAGCATGTCTGCCATTGAGCATGGGCAGACCAGGGTTCTGGCCTTGGGCCCACTCTTCCCTGTTTGAATTTGGGTCAGCCGCTTAATTTCCTAGAGCTTTAGTCCTGTCTGTGAAATGGGCATGATAATACCTACTGTACTGAGCGGTTATGAAGATTTAATGTGATAAAATAGTAAGGGAAGTAGCAGGTACTCAATAAATGTCCTGCCAGCGTGAGTGTTAACAATGCCCATAGCTCGTCTATTAAAGACAGTTTGCATATGTTCTCTTGATGGCCTTTCCTCAACGCCCTTCTGTCTCTTAGGGATTCGGCTTTGCGTGAGGTGTATGCTCATGCTGTGCTTGGACATCACCCCCATGTGGTGCGATACTACTCTGCGTGGGCAGAAGATGACCACATGATCATTCAGAACGAGTACTGCAATGGTAAGTACGGGGCGGATGTCTGCAGAGAGGGAGATGAGCGCTTTACTATTTTAAGTAATAGCACCGATACCATTCAAAAACATACCATTTGCTTTTCTTTCTTTCTTTTTTTCTTTTTTTTTAAATTACCCTCCCTCAATTCTATGCTGTCTCACATTCAGGGCTTTTCTGAGTTTTCCAGATCAGAGATGAGTTATTTCCTAAACTATCAAGTGATTATTTTAGATCGTGTTGTTTTGCTTTGTTTTTGGTGGATCTTTTAAAGGGTTTGGTTTAAAGAAAGATTTCTTCAGAAATCTCTACCTCTTAGTTTACACCTCCTTGTAGTTTATGCCAGGCATAGCAGTTATACCTACACAGTCTTGTATGGAAGCAGAGAGCTTGAGAAAATGTGCTGAGCTGAAAAGGAATTTTCTTGTTATATGAACCCTGAAAAGGGTTCAGGTTATTCGATTATTTCTTCCTAAGCTGGTGTGTAGCTGATATATAAAAGCTGTCACTCCCTTCAAGCTTTACTTGGTGCTTAGAGATAAAGCTTTTACCCTAGTGGTGTGAACGGTAAATCATCATTTTATCATTTGCTAAGTATTCTCTCACCCACTGCTGTCAAGGTGATTCTGACTTATAGAGACCCTGTAGGACAGAGTAGAACTGCCCCGTAGGGTTTCCAAGGCTGTGATCTTTATGGAAGCAGACAGCCACATTGTTTACCTGCAGACCAACTGGTGGGTTTGAGCCACCGACTTTTTTGTTAGCAGGTGAGCGCTTAACCACTGCACCACCAGGGTTCCTCTGCTAAGTATTCTAGAAGATGCAAACCATATTCACTATCATTTTTTTGGAGGAGGGGACGGGACTTTTTTCATCTTGCATTGGTTAGATATACAGCCAACTTTTGATTAATTTTCAAGTGGATCCCTGAATTTTCTTTTTGCTTTTTGCTGCTACTTTCTTAGCTTTGAGCTTTGGGCGGGGTAGCGTAGTGCTGGTTGTGAAACTCGGTGACTTCAGATATATTCTCCTAGGTCCTTCGGGACCATACATCCACAGTGACCTGGTAAAACTCTGTTTTCTGGGTGGCATGACACACAAAGAGTGATCCCTTTGGTTTAGCCTAGTTCTCATCTATGATTAAGGGGCTGGTGTAACAGTAGTTTTGTGCTGTTAGTCTTGGAAATATTTTTCATGAGAAAGTCAGTGATGAAGTAGAAAAGTGCTACCACATCGAATAGAACTTGCCCTCATTTTAGGAATGGCCGTTCACATCCCGGCCACAGTAATATCAGATAGCTGGCCCATCCGCCTTGCACCCCCGCCCCACGCACACTCACCCTGAAGTTGTTTAATAGTGATGCCTGTTATCCAGTAATGTTAGTGACCAGCAGATGGCCTGAGTGTGTATGTCCAACCTGTCTTTTGAGGATAGTGATCAGTAATAAAGCCTCATCATTATATAAAATAAATACATTAACAGTAAACCCATTGCCGTTGAGTCGATTCTGACTCTTAGCGACCCTATAGGACAGAGTAGAACTGCTCCATAGGGCTTCCCAGAAGCAGTTGGTGGATTCAAACTGTTAACCTTTTGCGCTACCAGGGCTCCATAAATTAACAGTAGGTAAGTAGGTAATACTGTGAGCTGCTAGAAACATAGAAAATGGTACACATCCTGCAAAATAAGAACGTGACATTTTCCGTCTTGCAATGTAGTGCGTGAAAGAAATCAGACAGTGCAGGGCTCTTTGGATCAGAATGGATAATCACACCACTCGCTGACATGGTCACAGGCTTTATTAGTTACATATTAATCAGGACAACGATAAATGCAGTAGGGTTTATCAGGATCCAGGTTCCCCCAAAAGGCTCGTTTCCAAGGCTGGGATATTTAGTTACCTCCCCACTCGTCCCTCAATGCGTCGTGGGTAAGCAATCAGGGGGAACTCAGGCCTGGGGTTTTATAGTATAAACTGGAGGGGTATAGTATAAGGAGGGAAGGAGCTAACAGGAAGGGGCCTTTGTTCTGCCAGGCTGTCCTGGGCGTCTGTGACTGGGGGTGTTTTTTGTTCAGGTGCACATAGCATGGCCATCCTGTGAGCAGGGTACACAACCAGAAAGAACATTCCTCCCCCTGTAACTACAAGATTAATTGTGTAAGCCTGCATTTTCTGATAAATGATACACTGAGTTAAAATTCAGCAGGAGAAACTGCCTCCCCTGGGGTGCATAGTGAGTACAGTTATGTGGTCATGGAGACAGTAGGGTTGGGTAGGTGCCATATGGTCCCAAGGCCTCCGCTTAGGTGGCCTGGATGGGAATCATAGAGGCAAACTATCGTCCCACCACTTACTTAGGTGTAATTGCTCTTCCATATAGCCCAATTTCCTTGCAGCCTTCCTCATGAACTTTATGGGTTTTTTCTATAATAAATTCCTCCCAATTCCTTCCTCTGATAGTCTATCTGGAAAAAAAAAATGGCACACTTCTCTATTAGTGTCATAGTGCTGCTATACCAAAAATACAAGTGGGTGGCTTTAAAGAACGGAAATCTATCTTCTTGCCATTCTGGAGGCTAGAAGTCCAAATCCGGGCCTTGACAGTGTAAATTTCTTCTGTGGGCCTCTCTCCCAGTTTCTGGTATCTACCGGCAATCCTGGCTATTCCTTTGCTTGTAGACGGCTTCTCACATGGCATCTGTCTTCCCCGTGTATGTATGTCTCCGTGTTTAATCTGTTCTTTTCACAACTCAGAAGTGGTGTGACTCTGGTATGACTTCGTTAACCTAACAAAACAAAACCTTACTTCCAAACAGGATCACATCCACAGGTACAGGGACCAGGACTTCAAACACATTTTGTGGGAACAAGATTCAATCCATAACACCTATATTTGGTGCTTAAGAGGCTGGGACTTTTCTTAATCACCTTCCCTTCCTAATTTCCTCTTGTCACAGCCTGAGATCCCCTATTCTTTTTTTTTTCATTCCTTACTCTGTGAGGAAGATTGGTTTTATTTCTATGACTCTTTACTATCAACACACAAAGATAACATCAAATAAATATTTGTTATTCCTACAAAAATTAATTAAAGAAAACTGACTTTAACTTGAGTTGGGACAATATAAAGATTTCAAATAAAAAAGAATAAGATGGAGTGATTATTCCTATTACAGATCATCTCCTAATTTATTTCGATGTCTGAATACCTCCTATAGTCTCAACACCATATTAAGTTTTAGGGTGAAAAATACTCTAGGGTGAGGTAAGGTAAGTCCTTGTCTTCAAGGAGTTTTATGCCACTTGCTCCATTAAGATGAATCCACAAGAAAAAATCAGGTGTGAAGCTAAATGGTACACCTGTGGATAGAAGCATTCAGAGAAGATGGATTTTAGCAAGGCATGGTGTCTGGGGGTGAAAGGAGCCTAGCTTTAAAGGCAGGCAGACCTGGCCTCTAAGCCCAGCTCCATTGACTAGTTGTGTGATCTCTGGGATGTCACTAGTCTCACTGAGTAGCCAGATAGTAATACTTACTAAGGGAGTAGTTTGAGAATTAGTGATAATCCATGTCGAATAGTAGCATAGGGTCAATACCTGATACATGGTAAGAACTCAATAATAGTCATTAGAGTAACCTAAGAAGATTCCACAAGGGCAGTAAACCTTGAATGTGACCCTGTGGAAGGATGACTGGAGTTCAAGAAATAGAGGGAAGACGTGCTTTAGGGGACAGCACTCAGGCAAAGGACGTGACATGGGGAATGGGTCTGACAGTTGGAGACTAAGTTGACGGAGGCGAGTTCTGTTTACTATTCAGCCACAGGAAGTAAGGTTAGCAAGGTAAAGAGTGGAAGACTACGAGGGCCCTGGAAGTCAGGCGGTGGATTTGGACGAGACATGGTAGGTTATGGGAGTCGTAGTCTAGCCATCATGGTGGTCCAGTAACTGTACTTGCCGGTTAACATGTAACTTAGATATGTCAAAGTGTAGTTCACAGACACTAGAGCTTTTCAAATGTGTGTTGATTATGCAAAACAAAGTATGCCTTTATACCTTGTCTTGTTCCTTGGAAACCCTATGGAGCAATTCTACTCTGTACTGTAGGATCGCTATGAGTCAGAATTGACTCGACAGCAACAGGTCTTGTTCATAGTTATGGATAATCCATGCACAGGTGTTTCCCTATGCCTCTAAATAAAGGGTTGTAAGTCCAACTTATTTGTAAGGTAGAATAATGACCCAGAGCCTGGTCCTTCTGCCCCCTCCCCCTCCATACCCTCCTTCCCCTCTTTCTCCCCTCTTCGTCCTCCTGCCCTGCATCCCCACCCCCACCTGTCCCCCACCCAGGCTAGAAGGGAAACAAGAGCCCCAGTGGACATGGGGTCTCAGGGGGCAGCCTTGCCCCTCCTGTCACAACTTGTAACCTCATCTTCAGATTTAGTCACTGGGCAATGTCGTTTTTAACAACCTCAATTCTTATTACTTTCTAATCCATAAGTCGTCTACAGTAAATAAGTCCTTAGAAGAGTCCAGAGAAAAACAAAACCACTTTCCTGTGGCCCTCTGAGTGTTTCACAAAGGGCTGAATTCTTTTTCCTTCTGAACATAATGTTCTTAGTATGACAGATTGATCTTACTTCATTTGTACACGGGATACCCTTAAATACAATTTCCCAAAAAAATCCTATTGCCATCTCACATCCTATTGTTCTGATATATATTGGAGGGTGGAGCTAAGCGATTTGTAAGTGCCAGAGAGACTCAGAGCTCTCTAACTTGACTGAAGCATCTGCCAGTGCTTGCTAAATGATGAAATAAAGCACGTGTTGTTACGTGCCGTTGAGTCAATTTCAGCTCATAGTGACCCTGCAGGACAGAGTAGAACTGCCCCATAGGGTTTCTTAGGCTGTAATCTTTATGGGAGCAGATTGCCAGGTCTTTCTGCCAAGAAGCCACAGCGGGCTTTGAACCACCAACTTTTCGGTTAACAGTAGAGTCTTTAACCTTTGCGCTACCAGAGCTCCTTATAAAGTGTGTAGAGCGAGCTAATACCCCAGGGCAGGGGCATCCAAGGTCAGGTGGTCATATGAATCCAGGCCCTGTTTTTTATTGATAACGTTGATTAATCAAGAGAGTCTACAGTTGATGTAGAAATATTGTGACACAACACAAATAGGATTTAGGTGTATCTAGAGCTTTTATACTTCTTTTGGGTGAGCAGTCATTAAATACTCTCATCTCATGATATATTTTTAATAGAATTAAACTTAGAATTAATTGTATTAAAATTACTAATGGTCCCTAACTAGTATCATGGCGGTGGAACGGAATGAATCATCTACACCAGTAGTAGCTCTGTGGTTAGCCCTGAGTGGCCTTCTGGTTTATGTGTGCTTAACAATTAGGTCAAACTTTTGCAGTGTTTGCTGTAGTTAGTTCCCGCTGAGTCAGCTCCGACTCATGGCAATGCCATGTATAGTGAAACGAAATGAAGATGGCCCTGAACCATCTGCACGATCGTTGGTGTGTTCCAGTCCACTGTTACGGCCACTCTGTATCTGAGCACCTTCCAACCTAGGAGGCTCATCTTCCAGCACTATATTGGACAATATCCTCTCATGATCCACAGGGTTTTCACTGGCTAATTTTCAGAAATAGATTGCCAAGTCCTTCTTCTGAGCCTGTCTTAGTCTGGAAGCTCCACTGAAACCTGTCCACCACGGGTGACCCTGCTGGCATTTGAAATACCAGTGGCATAGTTTCCAGCATCACAGCAACACACAAGCTACCACAGATGGGTGATGGTTTACAGTGTTACTTGGGGCATACTTGAGGCAGTAGAGCCACTAGTTGGAAACCTGGGATACTAGAATTTTCTTGTCTTCGTTAAAATCCCTGTAAATCTTCTTCCCAGTGTGGTGTAGACAGAAGGCAGATATTGTTATGTGTTATACTGACCCTGCAGTAATCTACTTGTTGGACTGAGGTCATTGATGAGGAATTTGCTAAGTATTTACTAGGCTTTCACCTATAAGACTCAGACATTTTCCCTCATTCGGTGGGTCTGCTCTCTGTTGTTCTTTCCCAGGTGGGAGCTTGCAGGCTGCCATATCTGAAAACAAGAAGTCCGGCAATCATTTCCAAGAGCCCAAACTCAAGGACATCCTTCTGCAGATATCCCTGGGGCTCAAGTACATCCACAGCTCCGGCACGGCGCACCTGGACATCAAACCCAGTCAGTGTGTGCCCCTCACGCCTGCTGCGTGCATGGCTTGTTCTGTTTCCACCATCCTCGGAAGCTGTGCCTGTGTGTTTGTCAAATGCCAAACAAAGTGTTTGCCAGCAGGACCCCTTCCCTGTATCTGTCTCCCCCTAAAGATACTCAGTTAGATTGCTTTATCCATTTTCCTCCTGGGCCCAGAGGACCGAGGGAAGTTTCTTTCCGGTGTAGTGAGGAAAAACTATGAAAACAGTTGTTTAATTTACACCACAGCAGAGGGACAGCACGTTGGCTACATCCTGAATGTGTTCACGACTAATGCTGTGCCCCTTCTGATTCGGCCCTAATCAAAGTGAGCCGCAATCAGTGATTTTCCCATCTACTGATGTGAGACCCACGGACAAGTTTTTACTCTTGTTGCACATGTGTGTTCTGAGATAATGGTACCCTTCCACCAGACTCTTCAGAGAATGTGGACTGTCTGAGGTCACTTTCCCTCAGACAGGTATTACTGATAGCTGGGCTCCACGTAAGTAGTGGGAGATGTTCCACAGAATAGAAACTTTGGCGGTCTTGTTGGGTGAACATAGAGGAAGAGGAGGGGGGGAATCTGAAATGTCAGATACAGAAAAGTGTCTTTGGCGTGAAAAATCTTAGGAATCATTACTTAGATCAATACTATATTTTTTCAGGTAACATCTTCATTTGTCATAAGATGCAGAATGACTGTCCTGCAGCCCCAGACGAGATTGAAAATGAGACGGATTGGTTTCTCTCTGCCAATGTGATGTATAAAATTGGTGAGCCGGCCTTACACCCCTGCCAGTACACTGCCATCCCAGAAAACTGATACTGAAGACTGCATTCATTGCAGCTCTAAGGAGACATGATTTAAAGAGCTCTCTATGTCCCCCCCACCACTTTTTTTAGGTGACCTTGGCCATGTGACATCAATAAGTAAACCCAAAGTGGAAGAGGGTGATAGTCGCTACCTGGCTAAAGAGATTTTGCAAGAGGTATAGATTAGGGAAATGTGGGGTGTTTTGTAATCTGCTCAACCATTAACTCTCAAATGAAGGCTCACAGTGTGAGTAATGAAAAGTGTATATTTATAATTTCAATCCACAGTGTCTCTTTTCCCATTCAGGATAGAGACTAAAGGTAGGAGAGATGCTTTTCTAAAGAAGCAATGAAGAAAGAGGGCTCCATCAGGATGAGTCAATACTCACACTGTTCTTAGGACAGGTCCTAGACTGTTTCTTGTATTCCCTAGAATTCCCAGACTCTTGGGTTGCCCACTAGGAAAGAAAACTTTCCCTCAAGCTCTTATTGGTCCAACCCATGCTTATTAGGCTACCATCCTTCTGATAGCACTACCAGCTCTAGTCATTGAATGACCTGTAGTCATCGTCCATCTCCCAGATCTCTGTCCAGTCAGGCCTGGGATGGGGAAACGTCCTCTGGCATAATAATCATGGAAAAAACAAGTCTTTCCTTCCTGTGATCCACCATTAATGCTTCAAGCCCCCTTGAACCTGATGGAGCAAGATGGCGCTAGAAGCTGCCTTGGATTCCTCAGGGCACCGCATTGTTAATTGGGTAGATTTTGCTCCATTATTTCCCCTAGACATAAACCACTCACCACAGCAACTGTGACCTTGCCCACATGTCTGTTTAGATCATATACACACACAAATGAACTTCTCCTAAGAGTTGGGTTTTGGCTGAGACTCACTTTGCTGGGCAAACTAACTGGCCTTCTTGACTTCTATTTTAAAGGATTATCGGCACCTTCCCAAAGCAGATATATTTGCCTTGGGATTAACGATTGCAGTGGCTGCAGGGGCTGAGTCGTTACCCATCAATGGCGTTGCCTGGCATCATATCCGCCAGGGGAATCTTCCAGACATTCAACAGACACTCTCAGAAAACTTTTATAGTCTGCTCAAGGTGATTTCTCTTATGAAGAGAAAATGGAAATGCCTTTTTTGTTTTTTTAATATGATGGCAAGTAGGTGGGGAAAGGGAAATGGAAGGGTGTTGGTAGTACCATTAACAGAAGGAAAGAAAAAGGAACCATGAGTAGGAAGCCCGGAAAAGACATAGGACACAGATTGAAAGCTCCTCAAGAAAACTTTAGAGAACATCAGAAAGCCTTTTGTGCTATAGTTCACAAAGTCCTGTTGCAAACATTTTTTCATTTGCCCTTTCTAACAAGCATGTAAGATGGGCAGGAGTATTCTATTCTGCAGTGGAAGACACTAAGGCTCAGAGCAGCTCCTTGGCTTATTAACTGATTAACCCCAAACCGAGCTTGCTCTTTTGCTCCTATTTCAGGGTTCTATTACCAGTGTTAACAGTGATGATAAGCCTAAAAGAATAGAATTTTGAGTGTGTAGAAGAAAGTATAAGCTACTTGACTGAATGATAGCTGATAATAGCAGCAATCATTTGAGCTACTGGAAGAAAGGCATAATGTTAATTGAAGAATCTAGGTGATAATTGTGCTTAATGATATCTGAGGATATATAGGGACAAGGAAAAGAGTATTACGTTGGAGCAAAAGACCAAACCCACTGCTGTCGAGTCGATTCCAACTCATAGCGATCCTATAGGACAAAGTAGGACTGCCCTGTAGGGTTTCCAAGGCTGTAATCTTTAGGAAGCAGACTGCCATATCTTTTCTCCCATGGAGCAGCTGGTGGGTTTGAACAAATGACCTTTAAGTGCTTAACTACTGCACCACTAGGGCTCCTTCTGGAGAAAAGAGAGGTAAGAAAAAAAAAAAAACTACACTATTGAGAAGCTTAGAATGATACCACCTAAATAAAATGTTTATATGCAACTTACTCATAAGAGGTTCCAAAAACCTGTTGATGCAGACTCATAGTGACCCTACAGGACATAGTAGAACTGCCCCAAGGCTGTAATCTTTACAGCAGCAGACTGCCACATCTTTCTCCTGTGGAGCAGCTGGTGGGTTTGAACCACCAACCTTTAGGTTAGCTGCCAAGTGCTTAACCACTACACCACCAGGGCTCCTTTTAGGATG